GGGTTTGGTCAGGCAGAACGATTGGGATTAAGGCACAAGCCTAGCTCTTCTCTTTGCTGCCATACTGTTTGGGGCCTTGGTTTCTTTCTCCAGGTTCACTTCTGGACAGTTGACCAGGAGAAGAGTATTGGCTTTTATCGATGTGGCATAGTCAGGCTGGCGCATGGAAACTGAATTAAGCACAGTCTGCATTTGGAGCTCTGAAATTTCCCTTTTGTGCCACTGCTCCAACTACTTTTCATTCCATATTTGTCCTTGATGGTGTCCTGCATTCTTCCCAGAGCTTCACAGTAATTTCCATAAGGTGGGGGAAGTAGGGGTGAATATACTCATTATACAGATGAGAAAACTGAGACCACACTGTCACACAAAAGACCTGGAGCTGGAACTTGATGAATTAATATGGACCTGATTTTTTAATTATGGGCCTTAGAGCCAGGTTCATGTAAAGGGGGACCTGCGTTCATGTATTAAATACTTGAGTGCCTAGTAGGAGCCAGGCACAGCGGCAGGTGTGAGGATACCAAGCACTCAGAGGCCCAGGCCTTGCTCATAAACTAGCGAGGAACAAACAGGAGTAGACGGGAGTTGAGACAGCATGAAGTACCCCCACTGAGGAAGTCAGTTGCTAATGGAGCACACTGGAGGGACACCTAACCTGGCCTTGAGAGGTTAGAGAAGGCTTCTGTGCAATAAGTGACATCTAACTTGAGATTCAAGAGGTATTTGCTCGCCCAGCCAGGCGTGGCTCAGTGGTTGAGCATCGACCTAGGATCCAGGTGATCGGGGTTCAATTCCCGGTCAGGGCACATGCCCCGGTTGTGGGCTTGATCAGTGATTCTCTCATTATTGATGTTTCTATATCTCTCTCCCTCTCCTTTCCTCTCTCTGAAATCAATAAAGATATATTAAAAAAAAAAAAAAGGTATTAGCTCAACAAAGGGTGTTTTAGGAGGAAGGAACAGCACGTGCGGAGGCCTGGAGGCAAAAGGAACTGATAAAGTCCAGTGTGTCTGGGGCCTATGGAGAGGAGCTTGGAGAGGAAAAACGGGGCTAGTTCATGGTAAGGACTTTGAGCGTTAGCCAGTGGGCAGTGGAAGTTGGTGAAGTGTTTTAAGCGTGGAATATGGCTCGGTCAGATTTTTTTTTTTAAACCACTGAGCAGTATGCCGAGGAGGCACGTGAGGGAGGCGGAACCAAAGAACTTTTTGTCCACGTGGGAGCTGCTCCTTCTGTGAACACATCAAGAATCCCTGTGGCCAAAATTCATCCCTCCGCATTTTTGTACTGAGGTTGCCCCCATTGCTGCCCGCCAGCTGTGGGCCAGTGGATCTTTGCTGCTTAAGTAGAGACCGAGGGTCCACAGCCAGCTGGAAGTTTTGTCCTGCTTCCCCAGTTTGAGAAATCTGTGCAGAGGGAGGACTTAAGTGAGATGTCAGCATTGGGGTGGCTTAACCTGACAGAGCCACCAGCAAATGCCAGCTCTACTGAACATAAGCTTGGTGGCGAATACCTCCCTGAGCCTTGGAATACCTCCTTTAAAAAACCACAGATAACAAAACACCTGCTCAGATCTTGTGAGGAGCCTGTGGGATGATGTATGTAAGGTGCCAGGCACATAGGAGGTGCACAGTAAATATTTATTCTCTTTTTTTCCTGCCTCTCCTAATGCTGCTTCATCTCAGAGAAAAAACCAGAGATCTTACAGCCCTTACAAAGCCTAACAGCCTGACCTGTTTCCTTTCTGACCTGCTCCATCTCCTCCTGGCCCGTCTGAGAGTCCAGCACTGGCCTCCTTGAGGTTTCTTGACCACACCAGATACACTCCCACCTCAGGAGCCTGGTATCCGCGTGGCTTGTTTCCTCATCTTTGTTAAGTTTTTGTCATTTTCTCAGCAAGACTTGCCCTAAACACTCTCTTTAAAACTCTAACTCTCCCCGCTTAACTCCCCCCCTTATCATTCCCTTCCCTTCCCTGCTTTGTTTTCCTCCGTGGCTCTTTTCACCTGCCAGTAGGTTACATAATTTAATTACTTAGCTTTGTTTTTAATTTTTTTATTATTATTTAGTTTGAACATTGTCTCTTCCAACTAGCATGTGAGCTCCACAAAGGCGAGGAAGTTTATTCCTGTTCTATTTATAGCCGTTTCTTTAGTGCTTAGATCAGTGCCAGGCACAGAAGGATCTCAATAAATGTTTGTTGAATGGATGGAGTGTTTGATTAGCTCCCACGATGGATAACACCCAGAATATTGGGAGTTAGGGAGCACCTGGTATTGAAGAATCTCGATGGGCATCCGAGCGCTCTCCTGCCATCTGACTGGTCAGTGACTCCTGGCTACTTAGTTAGGAGCCAAGGGTTCCAGCCCTTCACTCCTTTGTCTGTAAAGTGAGGATATTTCCCTGTTTCACTAACAGCTTATTTTTAGGAAAAACTTTTAACCCTTAGAGGCTTTTACACAGAAGCTCTGCTTTGCTTATAGTTCCACCTGAAGGTGTGGAAACCAGCATTTCCCTTCCCCCATTAGCAGCCTGGCCTGCCAGTTACCACTTCTGGACAGCCTAAGTGTTTTTTTCTCTTTTGTTCTATTCCTGACCCCCCACATTGAACTTAAAAACAACCTCCCATTGAACTGTATGGCAGTGTAATGCCTCACTGGGGACATGGTTCCCAGAATGTGGCCTGAATCCATTTCCTCGCCAGCCTTTGATATCTAAGGAAGTTACTGTGCGTGAAAGAATTGAGATAGCCATCCCCTAGTGAAGTTGTGTATTTGGATTAGGTCCATTCATTCATTTACTTGTTCACTTATTTATTCATATTCAGGGACTCACAGTCAAATGGGAGAGACTAAAGGCAGACAAATAATTGAAATAGTGGAGGTATGTAGATGGAGGAGAAAGTTTTTGTGAAGTCAAGTCCCTGCTACAAAAATATTATATAACAGCCCCAAACTTTAGTGGCTTTCAACAACAAATCTTTCTTTCTTTTTTCCATACCTACAGGTCAGCTAGAATGACCCTGTTTTAGGTGGTTCAGGTTCTGGTCTGTCCTTGTATCTCTCTTTCTGGGATCCAAACTGAAGAAGCAGTGGTACCTGGCCAGTGTGGCTCAGTTGGTTGAGCATCGTTTCGTGCACCAAGAGGTCACAGGTTCGATTCCTGGTCAGGTCACATGCCTGGGTTGTGGGCTCAATCCCCAGTGGGGGGCATGCAGAAGGCAGCTAGCTGATCAATGTTCCTCTCTCATTGATGTTTCTATCTCTCCTTTCCTCTCTAAAATCAATAAAAACATAAAAAAAAAAAAAAGAGGCAGTGACTACCTTGGGCAAGCTCTTCTTGTGGCACATGCAGGAGTATAAGAAGCAAAGCCAGACCACACAAGCACATCTAAGGCCTATGCCTATATCACATTTGTAGCATTCCATTGACCAAAGTAAGTCACAGGGCGAGCCCAGCATTGGGAAGGTAGGGATGAATACTCTGCTTATTGGAGTGGCAACAGGGTTGTATAGTTCAGTTTCAGGGAGGGAACGAAGAGTTAGGAACAATAAGCGAATCTACTATAGCATTTAATTCTGGCTGTGGAAGTTAGGGAAGGCTTCCTGGAAGTGGAGACTTTCATTTTGAAGTATGAGTGGTTTTCAAGATGAACAAGCAGGCAAGTACATGCAAAATGTTAAAGAAAATGAAGCATTGTCTTACTATTTATTTGAGTAGTCTCTATGGAAATTTTGTAAAGAGATACAAGAAGATAAAACAAAGGTCTTCAGAGTACCTGTCCATGAAGGCCTAATTTCATGGGGGAGATAGCAAACATAATTCAAAAGAGAAACAGGAAATATACAACCAAGTACACTCTTATTCAGTTGGATGAAACAAAAGTATAAATTCAGAAAGGAAGCTAGAATATAGTTTTAGTAGCTATGTTTGATACAGGATGTATGTGCTGTTTTATATTCATTTTATTTATTTTTAAATATGTTTTTATTGATAGAGAGGAAAGGAGAGGGGGGGAGAGAGAGAGAGATAGAAACATCAATGATGAGAGAGTCATTGATCGGCTGCCTCCTGCACACCCCACACTGGGGATCAAGCCCGCAACCGGGGCATGTGCCCTGACTGGGAATCGAACTGCGATCGCCTGGATCCTAGGTGGATGCTCAACCGCTGAGCCACGCCCAGCTGGGCTGGACACCTGGTTTTTAGTACCCACCGTATATGCAGCACTACGCTTGTTAACGGGGCCCAGGTCCTGGAGTTGGTCCTCTCTCAAGTCGTGTCTGGTTGCCCATTCTTCAGATCTCACCTTCTCATTGTATGTGGGATTGAGGTGCATCGGAGAAAATAGGATTCTTGCCCATCGCCCTACTTTAAAATGCTCACTTTGGATAGTGAGGTGTTTCAAAATTCTGCCTCTTTGTTTCCCCCAGTTTATATACACACCCTCTACCTGACCCTAGCTCTCCTGCACTGCGCGGCACAGACACCCCCCTGGAACGCTCCTACTCATGGAGGAGTGGGCGTCTGGGGATTTTTCTAATTTCTTACCCACAGTCCCTTGACAACCGAAATCGTGTCTCCCTGGTCTTGCTGATTGTTACCGTGACTTTTTAGTCTGGTGTCCCATGAGTTTGAGACCAGCTCCTTTGTGTAGACATCTCTTTCCTCTGTGGATCATGAACACTGAGGGGCATTTTCGTGTGCTCCCCATCTTGGGGGGTCCGGAATTGAGTGGAAGCGTGTTTCATGACCCGTTTGCCATTTGCTCAGGAAGCCAGCAGAACTGGTTTCCCTGATCTCAGAGACCATCTCGCACTGCCCCCCC